CCCCCCCCTCCCCCCTCCGGCTCCCCAACTTCCCCCTTTATTAACCACGGCTTTTACTTTATTTTGGCATCTCCTATAAAATGAAGGCACTTCTCCTCGAAACATACTACATCGCTGCAATACAAATGGTAAGTTCAAAAGAAAAAGCAGCATGTAATTTATTTAAAAATTTTAAAAAACACCGACTCCTAGCCAGCAAAGTACTTGTAGAAGTCTAGGAATATTAACGTCTGAGACGAGGTGGTGATGCTCAATAGATGCGAACATCCCGATATGGCTGAAGCTCTGCCAAAGTTCTTCTGTTGGAAGAACCTTTGGACTGGTAATCCATTCGATGGATGAAACGAATCCTAGGATCGTCAGCAGGTTGATCACTAGGAAAGAGCACTGAACAAAGCAACCAGATGAATTGCCAAATGCATTGCTGGAGAACAACGCTATAATATATGGCCGATGAAAATTTTAGATTGTTGAGACTCAGTGTTTTTCGCATTTCTTTGCTCAAAAAAGGATTTTATAAATCTACTTTGGTCTTTTGTTTGGCGTATTCTATTTAATAAATTGGAATTTTGAACTTTTAACTACATATTAACGGACTGAATCCCTCGCACAACAGTGATAGAGACTAACACAATAAAGAAGCCATTTGTAATTGCGATAATACAGTGAGTTTTACCTCGCCCAGTGTGACCTGACGATGAGTTTTCACAACGTCGAACGGAGTCGTCAAAAATGCAGCCAATGAACCCGATAGCGCACCACAAGCAAAACTGATGAGAAAATTTGTTTCCTTACGATCCAATGTCAGCAACGCCTTCCTTTTCAGGTACTCGTATCCAGTCCAGTATACTGCTAGAATCACAAAATCTTACCAACAGCAACAGCCATCATTTTTTTGAAGCTCCTTAAACAGCCGTGCATGCTAGGTTTGGCTGAAGCGCAGTCAGGACAGAACGATGGCGATATGGAGGCTAGGCGTTCGCAGAGACAGCAAGTGCCTAACCGTTCTCAAACAACTGGATTACAGGCTGAATAAACACGTTATCAGCAGTAAAAACCAAGTCCGGCACTTTCCAATGAGCATGAATCTACGGACTAATATTAGCAAAATTACGAAAGAAGGAAAAAACTTAATGAAATTTATGGGTACAGTATAGCAAAACAACGAATTTGGACTAATACCAAACTGCTAGAATCCAGTACACGGGGGAAAACTCATGACATTAGTGCAGCAGCAAACAGTAGTATCTTAACACCAACAGGAAAAAATAGGGCCGAAAATCTGGAAGTCAAAAGCCCTCTCCCCCAAACCAACTCCCCGCCCCTATTCGCTTTTCCCGTGAAGCAAAGTCCAGTCGGAAACAACCTAAATTTTAGTAACTGTTAGATTCAACCATCCACAGACAAGGTTGTGAACAGCTTCCTTTTCCGAAATTTGCTTAAAAGCAAACCGATGGCGAATTTCATTTTCTGGTACTTGCTAGAACTAAGCTGCTACCAATACGAATGAACGAATTGTAGAGGGGACGAACTGTAGAGGGGGTTTCACTATTGTAAAGCCTAACTACCCGGCTTTAAGCACGAGGTCAGCGCCACTTGCCACTGCGCCATGCCAATA